TTCAAAAAATATTCAAATACAAAACATACCATTGTTTGTGTTTGATTCCAAAAATATTAATTACTTATAAGATTCCCAACATTACTTTTTAAGATAAGCTTTACTTCTGCTTTATTGCAAATTATTGGATATTTTTTACTATAATAATAGAATATGATGTGACCATTGCTTTCAGTATTAAGCATAGAATTATAACTCGGATACTTGATCTACTTACTTTCCTCAAAAGATACAAAGGACTAAAAACAAAGCAATTTTACCCTTTCGTCTTTACTTTTCTGTACGAACAAAAATGTATCCATCTGCTCATGAATATATCACTGTTGGGAAATCGGTAAAATATCTATATCTACATTTTCCAAGTGTGTGGCCGAAATCAAAAGTGAAGGAATTAAATACACTATTCAAATACACTATTTTAATGCACTCTAGCCGTTTTAAACTATGTGTATGTGAAAAATATCGCAATAGATCTACGTCTTAGCGCCTAAGTAAAGTCTAAATAGCACTTACGATCGTTTTATAGTTTAATTGTTGAAGTACAATTTCTAAAAATAGTGTTTAAAACGTAAATTTTAAATGTTTGCGACGAATATGCACTAAAAATGGATTTGGATATCACTTTATTTTAGATTCATTTAAAATGTTCAACTAGTTTTTGTAAAAGGAATCAATTTTAAATTTGTGTTATATTTCTTAAGCCATCATTGAAAACATACAAATATATAGATTAATAAATGACAAAGTTGTAAATTTGATAATGAAGCTTCAAGTTTTTCTGAGAGTTTTTCTGTGATTTAACATGTTTGTTAAAAATTAGCATCTGAATATTTTAATATATCTTATTACAAATCTTTAACAATGAAAACCTTACGAAATCTTGTAAAAGAAAAATTTTGGATTTCAATAAAAAGCCTAAATGAGTTGCAATGCTATTTTTATTTTCAGTCTTAATTGGTCTCAACAATTCCCATTCCATATTTAAATAACCTCACTGCAATTAATTCGTCTTTGAACTTGACAACAGCTGATTTATTATTCACTCTTGATTTCTACTGTTTGACTTCGGACAGCTTAATTTATATATACGAACATGACAAAATGATGTCAAAATCTTCCATGTAACTGGAGAACGTAGCGTGAATGCTCGTGATGAACCACACCAAGTTGTTCCGTTAGTTTCTTATGTAAAGACGCATAAATTAAATATTGACTATAAATTGAAAAAATTATGACTTTAACAGAAAGCGAAATTTTCTCACATTTAAGCAGAAATAGCAAAAACGACTAATTAAATAGAAAATTTTATGAAAATGTTTAATTAAGCAAATTATGGCTCAGCCGCAGTAGTCTTACATGATTGCTGACTACAGATCGCAAATCGTACTCCTGAGAGGTGATCACATTCACTTTGGTTGGCACTTTAATTGCTCAACAAAATCTAAAAATCAAGATAAAATATATAAAAAGTGGTTAAATGCAA